ATTTTTCTGCAAGGTTTCCATATATTTTCCAGTTATTTAAAACCTACAGAGGCTTGAGACCTGCTTATAGCTTGACAAGCAGTCTTGAGATCTTGAGATCTGGGTGAATGGAGGGTATGATGGGAAAACCCCAAACCACATAAAATACTGCCTCCTATATTTCGGTGCAATAGCATGAGTTGCAGAAGAGCGATTATATCCCTCATCTTGTGTTTGAGTCAAGACTCTATCAGGGTCCACTTCAAAGTGTCTGATGGCATCAGCAGTCACTCCAGCACTTTAACTGCACTTTTGATTAAGCCTGCAAGCACATATCTTCAGAGGCAACTAGGCATTCAATAATTTTTAGGTGTTTAATTAAAAAGATTGAAAGGAGTTTGGATGATTGAGTCCGGATTCTCAAAGGTATTTCAGAATTTTATGAACTTCTAAATGAATGTATGATTTAATCGATATTGCCTAACAACTTAAAAGGCCAACATTTCATTTATGTGGAGGCCAATGCTTTCAGGAGAAAGTAATCAAGCTCTTTACATCACTATTGAGAGATCAATGAGTTTTAAGACTGCATCAGTAAAATGTGCTTGGACTTAGCATTGCTGAGGTTAACCAGTGCACCCTTCATCCCTGAGTTAGGTAAGCATGATCCTTCTGCAGTGCCTGGGAGAACTGATTGCTGTAATGTAATAATTTATTGGAGCCATATTTATTGGTCTCCCACCTTCTTGTTCATAGTCTGGCAGAGAAGGGGTAAGGTGCCTATTTGGGCTCAGAGCGAGCGATGCAAGCAGGCATCTGTGGTCTGTGAACCGGGGTGGATTTGGGCAATGACAGCTAGACATGGGACTACCTGTCTGGTGAGTTATGGGGAAGCACTAGATGCACACCGTAGACTCGTAGAATCATAGAATGATTAGGGTTGGAAGCAACTTCGAAGATCATCTAGTTCCAAGCCCCCTGCCATGGGCAGGGACACCCTCCACTACACCAGGTTGCTCAAAGCCTCATCTAATCTGGCCTTGAACACTTCCAGGGATGGGCATCCACAACTTCTCTGGGCAACCTGTTCCACTGCCTCACCACCCTCAATGTAAAAAAATTTCTTCCTTATATCTAACCTAAATCTGCCCTCTTTCAGTTTAAAGCCATTGCTTCTTTTACTATCACTAAACGCTCTTGTAAAAAGTCCCTCTCCAGCTTTCCTGTAGGCCCCCTTCAGGTACTGGAAACTGCTATAAGATCACCTCGGAGCCTTCTCTTCTCCAGGCTGAGCAGCCCCAACTCTCTCAGCCTGTCCTCATAGGAAAGGTGCTCCAGCCCTCTTATCATCTTCGTGGCCCTCCTCTGGACTTGCTCCAACAGCTCCATGTCCTCCTTGTGCTGGGGACCCCCGAGCTGAATGCAGTATTCCAGGTGGGGTCTCACGAGAGCAGAGTAGCAGCAGTCCCTCAACCTGCTGGCCATGCTTCTTTTGATGCAGCCCAGGATACGATTTGCTTTCTGGGCTGCCAGTGCACATTGTCGGCTCATGTTGAGCTTCTTATCAACCAGCACTCCCAAGTCGTTTTCCTCAAGGCTGCTCTCAATCCATTCTCCACCCAGCCTGTACTTGTGCTTGAGATTGCCCCGACCCACATGCAGGACCTTACACGTGGCCTTGTGGAACTCCATGAGCTTTGCATGGGCCCACCTCTCAAGTCTGTCTAGGTCCCTCTGGATGACATCCCTTCCTCCCAGCATGTCAACCACACAGCTTGGTACGGTTATCAAAGCTGGGATTGTTATGTGTGTTTGTGTCCCTGAAATGAGCCGAAGCTTTCACAGAGCTTTATGGGAGGAATGACATGCTGTGGGTTTTTATTTTCTCTATTGTGTTTTCATTACCCTATAGATATATATGTATAATGTATTTGATTACATTAGAAGTTGTCTAAATGCTGATGTTGGGATGACTCTATATTTCTTACTACCTGTGAATGACAAGACACCTTTCCTGTTGGATAAATAGTAGTGAAGAAAATTGATTTTCTTATATGTGCATGGGTTGCATAGTTCAAAAAAACCCAAAACTGATCTCTTTACATGTATAACATGAGCACTACGTGTATAGAGAACATGCTTCATGTTGGAGCTTCCAAAATTTGAATCTTGAAGTTACCTGAAAAACTCAATCGATTTTACAGAGTGTCTTTCCTATTCTGCCTCTGGAACTTAGCAGGGAGAAGGGAAAGGGCTACTAGGAAAAAATGTTACATAAGATCACAGTGTCACACACAAAAAAGAACTGAATTAAGGTTGCAAGGAGCAGGAAATGACACATCTAAAGACTTTCAGATATTTGATTTTTCAAGGCTAATAAAATCCTCTTACTTATTTTTCACTACTTTTCTGATTTTCATTAAGGAAAAAGGGTCAAACTAATTATTCTGTATGTGAAAGCAAACTTTCTCTATCCAAACCCTTGGGGAAGCTTTTAAAGATCTACAGAAGTAATGATTCAGAAGAACTATTAGTTATTTCACCTCTGCTCATCACGGGCCATTGCGTTTCATTTAAATATTCCTATATTGATTCTAGTAATTTGTATTTGACTGAAGCATGCTCTTTGCAAAGCAGCAGACATTGATTTGGAGACATCAAAAGATGGAAAAATTGCTCCTTTCTTGTGTAATTTGTTCCCAATAATAATCACCTTGGCTGTTAGGAAAAATCTGTCGTTGTTTCTAAGATGAGTTTGTCTGGCTTCGACTTTTACGTATTTGTCCTTGTTACACTTTTCTTCCCAGTCTGAAAGAGCTCTTCAGTACCTGCTATTTTCTCCCTGTGGAGGTCTTCAGACACTATAATCAAGTCACCTCTCAGTGTTCTTTTTGATAAACTAAATGTGCTGAGCTCTTTAAGTTACTCACAGTGAGAATTTTCTCCAGTCCTTTCACTTATTTTCGTGGTGCTTTTTATGCATTCTTTCTAACTTTTCATAGCCTTTTTTTTCAATCTGAACAAGACAACAATTCCAAATATCATCAGTGATGCTAGCAGAAGTAAAACACCTTTCTACTACTCCTTTTCAGACATCTAATAGAAATTAGTCCATTTTAACAAAGATTTGCAATCTGAGTGATTAGTGAGTTTTTGTTCAGTCTTACAGCTGAGATGCACTTGGAGCTGATCTTTTTTTTTCAAAAAGTAGGAAAGTTCCTAGTCTGTTAATGTGTCTTATATTTGTTTCTGCTAGCTATATACTCTCTTATTTGTGTTTGCACAGTGCCTTACAGGCTATAATGTGACCTACAGGACAGACTGCCTCATCTGCTGGAGGGCACGTAGAGGAGGTTGATCTGGGAGGGGGCAGAAGCCAGCTCTGACTGGCAAGTGCCTCCTTGCTCTACCTTTGATCTTGGAGAAGCTTAAACTGGGGCAGAGGGAGTCTGGACCATCGGGGTCATGCCATCAGTGTGGAGCTTTTGTTGCTGCTTCCTTTTGGCTGTCTTTGCTCAGAGATTTCTAATGCTTCACTGGCTATGGCTTTGTTCAAGGTATGAGCCTGGGCATGGTATCTGGATGAGAAGGGTTTACTTTCTTTTCCATTACAGTTCTCTTTTCTATGCTTTGAACCACCATTTGGTTTCATCTTCTCAGCAAAAGTTGCAATTAGAGTGTTTTAGATGAACGGATGCTATTTTTAACTTTTCGTATTGGTCATAAAATGACATTTTTGCCCATATTTTCATGAATAGCTAATTTAGATATTAGATACATTTTGTCAACATTAGTCAAATTTGTTTAAAAATTATTTTTTATTTTACACATCAAAGTTTTAAAGTTTTAAAGGCAAATCGACATATTGCCCTACTTGTTCATTAGCTGAACTAATGATTAGCGAATCTTATATTTCTACTGTAAATTATTAATGGCATATAGCAAAATCTAGCTCTATGTGTTTCAAATATTCAAATATTTCAAACATTCAAAATACAGGGCTGAAACAGGTGAGAAAGAAAATCTGTCATTGAGTCTGATAATAAATTAACAGCAATGAGCAAAAGTAACTAGTTGGGAGGAAGCATTTCAGAAAGGAGAGTTAGGTATATTCCATGTTAACAGGGTCTCCTTCATCCTTTGTGTCCATAGCAGAGCTGGGACACAGGCTGTCATCCACATCCTGGGACACAGGCTGTCCCCCAAAACTCTCATCAGGGCAGAAAAAAACAGGGTGCCATCTCAGAAAATTGGATCCTATTCTTCTGTGTACGCTGAGGTTCTTATCAACTGGACAAAACAAGTGCTTCATTTTGTTGAAATTAAGGGATGCAGAAAAAATATAGCTATGATAATTTTTTTCCCCCACTGTAGTATTCTACTTAAACAATAGTCATCTTTTACATTAGCAGTCACAAAAGAGACGACTAGGAAAAGCTGAGGATAAGAAACGAGGCGAAATTGGAAATGAAGGAGCAAGGAAGAGAAATGACCAAAGTTTGTATAAGCTGGCATCATTGTAGTGAATTCAAGGAAGAGAAACAATGATATAAGAGGCAATGTGGTCCAGCAGACATAATGGTTAACATGGATTTTTACCAGACAATGGAATAACTGTTCCTTCCACAAAACAAACCCAGAAAGCTCACAGTCACTGACAGTTATGTGTAAGAAAACAAACACAAAACGTTTTGATCGCTTGCAGATGTAACAGTGATATTTTCTTGTAGAAGAATTTGAGAATATAGAATTGCAACCAGCATTTGGCTAATTAGAATAAATGTATTTGTATAGCTGGTTTTGCCTGAGGTGAATAGTTCTAACTGCTAACGCAGGTGCTGAGAGTCTAACGTGTTTACTACTATCCCAAGGGTCTTGCATTTGTGTGCACTTCTATCATAAATTAGAAATGACAGAAAAAAAACAACTATGGCAAAGCTTGACTGATACACTGTTACATATCTGAATGTGCATAATCATATTTTGAAATAATAAAGCCTTACTTTTTTTGTGTCCTTCAGGTACACAAAGATGAAGACGGCAACCAACATCTACATTTTCAATCTGGCTATGGCAGATGCGCTAGTTACCACGACTATGCCTTTCCAAAGCACTGAGTACCTGATGAACTCTTGGCCCTTTGGTGATGTGCTGTGTAAAATAGTTATTTCAATTGACTATTATAACATGTTTACCAGCATATTCACACTGACCATGATGAGTGTTGATCGATACATTGCTGTATGTCACCCTGTGAAGGCTCTGGACTTCCGTACGCCTCTCAAGGCGAAGATTATCAACATCTGTATCTGGCTGTTGTCTTCATCTGTTGGTATATCTGCAATAGTTCTTGGAGGTACCAAAGTCAGGGAAGGTGAGTGTGAGCATTCAAAATTCAGTCTTTTTGTTTCTCAAATGACATAAAATGTAGCTTCAAATATTGATTAAACCTGATTGATTCCTGCTTCAAAAAGTATATCTAAATTTCTGACACTTTGAAATATATTGTGGAACATTACAGTATGACATATAAATCATTTAAGCTCAGATGCTCTGGCCAACTAAAGGAAAAAAATGCACTTTGAAGCATTGTCTGTGCTAGCATGAAACCATCAAAAACTACTAGCAGACAGCAGAGGAAAATAATCAGGAATTTGATCGCAGTGGGCAGATCAAAGATCAGTTTAGGATGAAACTTGAAATATGGGCTTATGATGCTTTTTGTAGGTGTTGTGAGAGTAGTTCTGATGAAATTCCAAGAGTAGAAACCAGATTGCTTATCATTAGTATTAATGTTAAAACTATCATTAGCATTAAGACTTTGGAGCTTGTTATCAACTGTCACTTCACAGAACTTGAAGGCATGGTAAAGAAAGGAAAACTCCATAGCTGGAGAGAGGAAAAGCAAGCTAAATTATTTATGACTGTATCTTGAATTCTTGTTTAAAAAGAGATGGGGATGCGTATGGAGACTTGGAAAAGTCAAGAATAAGGATTAGCAGAGGAACTGGGAATATAGACCATGGCAGGGAAGCAACTACAAGAACATGAAGTTGATGAGACCTGAATGCAGACCACCTGAAGACTCTGCTTGAAATTTATAATCCGTGAAGGACTGTGAATTTAGCCCCTATAACTCCTGACTCATTACCAAAACTGCCCTGCTATGGGCTTAATCTTATTTTGAAATCCTCCTTGAGAAGGAAAAGGGACAAGCATTCACACATGCATACCCTTCATACTCACAGGCATGTGGTGCAGGAGCATCTCAGTGTCTTTAAAGGACTTGAGACCTCTAATGAGGTCATTGGGTTGGGACCATGCTGTTAATGGATGGCTTGATAAAATACAAGACATGCATATTTATTTTGTGGTAGTCTTGTTTGAGATATAAATAATATTTTGAAAAATGATTAATAGTTTACTGAATTAACAACCTTTTCTATTAGAAAGGTTTCACTCCTCCCAAGAGAAATGGTAAGCTTTACATAAGGACACTGTTTAATCTGGCAGAGACAATAAATGCTGTGTGCTAAACTGTTTGGCATAGATCAGTGCAAACAAAACATTTCAGTAACAGCTGCCCAAGGGCTGATTAATTTGGCTGAAGATGTAAAGATTTTGTTCTTACTATTGGTCTTCTGGTGGGTAGGTGACAGAAGAGTCCTCTGGAAACTCTTCTTTCTGCCTTGTGGGGGATCAAGTGTTCTGGTCAGCAGTGCCGTAACTCTTCTCCACAGTAAAGTTGTGACAGGCTCTATAAAACAATGTCCAGCTCAGTAAACATTAGTTTCCAGGCATCTTCATTTGAGAAGAATGATTGTCTCACTACATATGAGATCTTGAAGGCCATGGGACATTGACTTGGTCAGGTGTTTTGTTGGAGCGTACTTAACTAAAAGAATATTCCTGTGAGTGTCGCTGTGAGTGACACATTTACATCTCTGCTCTGAGGGTCTGCTCTGAGGCCAGCAACGGTTAAATACCTTTTCCAAACACCTTTTCCACACCACGTGGCAGGCAGCCTTTTTTTTTTTTATTTTTTTTAACTCTTGAAGCAGATACTAGTAATATACAGCTCAGCTGGGCCAAACGAGGTTGGAAATTATTGGCAAATGCTTGTCAGCCCCTACTGTTCAGCCCTTCTTGTCTGACCTAAGGTCTCTCTGGAGCATTTACTGCCAATTACCTTGCCTGCTGTGTTCATTAATTGCACTGGTAAATGCTGAAGGGGAAAAGCAAGGATCTTGCCTTTGCCTACAGCTGAAGCTCAGGACTGAAACCTTCTGTGTGTTGGTCAACATAGTTGTTGTTTTTATGCTGCAAGGCCTCTGCTGGGTTCAGACTTAAACAACAACTGAATATCAAACGGAAAGTGATTATATTTAAAGTTCCCACCCTGTACTCAGTTAGTCCCTTTTGATCTTACAGTACAGGATTGCTCCCAGTGGTGTCCTTCTGGATACATTTTACCTAAATAGATTTTAGATTTTTTCTATTTTTACCTAAATAGATCTAAAAATAGATTTTACATATGTGCAAATATTCTCTGTCTGGCCTTAATGGAGCCTTTCTTGATGAAGAATTGTTCACTTATTTAAAAAAATATAAAATTAGAGGTACTATTAGTATTCCCAGTAATAGTATGAAGGCTCCGTTTGAGTACGGAGGAGTATGGATGCCTGAAGGTGATGTAATTAGTAATGTATCTATCAGAAATATATTTTCTATGTCAAGATCAAGATTAATCTTAAATGGTAGCTTATAAAACACGTTTTAAAACCTATTTACATTAAAATACCATTTGGAGTGCAAAATTTTTCCTCAACTATAGAAATGTATTTGAAATATTCGGCTTTCAGATTGGAAAAGTTCAGTATGAAATCTCTCAAATACTCAGTTTGTGACACTGTACTTAGTTCTGCATCTTTTCAGGCAACAAGAATAAAATATAAATTGGATTTTATTCTCTTCCAAAGTTTCTGAAAATTATTATGATATTGTGCATTATGACAAGGATCTTTGTTTATTGTTTGTCAGTTGTAAACTGGGAAAACGTAAATGGGTTCCATACAATTAATAGCATTATATATATCAAGGAAACACATGAATATTAATGGTTTAGAATAAGATTTTCCACAGAAAATAAACTGTAATGAGGTCTAAGACAATCATTACACTTGTATTTGATAATTTGGAGTTCTAAAATATCATTGCCAACTGCAAATTGTATTAAAATGTAGCAAGCATAACCTAACTATTTTGATAAATATATGAAATTATGTCAGTTGATCAGAAGAGGCAGTTTCCTCTGGGAAGGAGTTTCAGTGAGTAGCTGGATGTGATCGTGAACAGTCATCCCCGATCATACCTTACTTTTATCCAGAAGCGCACATCTGGGTTCAGCTTTACTAGTCTAGATATTATAGCTGCATCTTGTATTTATGGCTGCTACTAGGCTGCGATCTACTACAAATAGCAGTAATAATGTGAAAACTTCTTTGAAGACAATTGTTGACATTTCTAGAATAAAATTAAGCACAAGCAACTACTCTTACGAAAACCTAGATCACAAAGGATTTAGAAAAGCTACAGAGCATCAAGACTCTGATAAATCATACTAGTGTTGTCAGCTTAGCATCCTCCATCAGGTTTGAGAGATGTCTTTTTGCTTTTCAGCTTTCAGAATCATCCATTAGTTGTTACATTATTCAAAATAAAACCTCAAAATATTTAGCTTTGATTTCAACTTTTTTATTTGAATGTTTTAGTATTCAGTATCACCCAGTAACAACTTCCTGATATCTAACCGTGGAAATGTCTGTATGATACCATAATGATAACTTCTGCCCCTGGCTGTTTTTCAAAACAAATTCTTTGCAATATCATCTTGATTTATGAAGCATTTTGATAGCAGAGAAATAGGGCTTGATGAAATTTTTCTGACTAGTTCTGCTGGAGACAGATGTGAAAAAGTGATGTGCAAGAGTATGTTGAATCATTCCACCCTTAGCTCTCATTTGACAAAAGCCAATACATAATAATTGGTAGAGGAATGACAAATTCAGTAGGAAAAATGAAAAAAATGCAAAGAATAATGCAATGCTCAAGAGGATAAAATCTAAGCCACAATTCAGAGCGAAAAATCGCTGTGTTGCCTGGATTTATCTTCACTAGAGTTTAACTGCTGATAGTAGTTGTATATTTACCCCTTCTCTTGCCTTACCATTAATCTTGTTTCTTGGTTTTCCATATGGTTTATATGCTGGAAGGCTCCAATGAGGTCAGCAAATGAAACCTCAAATATTTAACTCCTCAGCAGCCTCCTGTCAGATGGAATATTTCTGAGACATAAAATCAAGTGACAGCCTGTGACTCCAAATCCTGGCATGGGCAATCAGAAAGGGAGTGAGCTGGTGTCAGTGGCCCAGATAATGCAGTCTCTGCAAAGGCTGAATTTTTGATGACGTGATCTGCAAAAGAGCAGCTTCCGTTTGTCTCTGCACATGCACACATTTTATTTGCTTCTATTTAAATGAAAAGACCTGCCAGGAAGTAAGTTTTTCTGAATGCAAGCACTTATGTGTATTCCATTTGTACTGAAGAAGGCATGTGGGAAAAGATTATTACACCATTATCATATATTGGCAAAATCTTCCTACGATCAAAACCTCATTTGGCTCCCACCATTCATGATACTGCAAATCTGTCTCCGCCCACAGACAAAAACATATGTAGTTTGATAATAATTATGAGATTTCTACTCCATTGAACATGGTACTCGTTCTGGCTTTAAATCTCGGTGAGATTTGGATGGAAATATTTTTACAAATTTTTATTTTTGTCCTCTGCATTTTTAGATTCTCCCATGAGAAACAAATTTTATACGATGTTACGCATTTTAAAAAGCCCCTATCTCTCTAAGTGATTTCTAGAGACAGCTGCATAAAATCAGTTCCAATGGTAATTGAAAGCTTTCCTTGGAGTGATTTACTGAGAACTCTATTTATTGGTATCACATTACACGATAATCACTTTTCCTAGCTTATGGTATGATAATTACATTGTTTAGAACATCTAATAGTAAAGCAATTTTCTTCTTGCTTCTTTCATTCCCAGATACTGCTAGCACTGAATGCTCCTTGCAATTTCCAGACAAAGACTACGTGTGGTGGGACATCTTCATGAAAATCTGTGTCTTTGTATTTGCATTTGTCATTCCAGTTCTCATTATAATTGTTTGCTATACTCTGATGATCCTGCGCCTTAAAAGCGTGAGGCTTCTCTCAGGGTCTCGAGAAAAAGACCGAAACCTGCGCCGCATCACCAGATTGGTTCTTGTGGTTGTGGCAGTTTTTATTATCTGTTGGACCCCTATTCACATTTTTGTGCTGGTGGAAGCCTTAGGGGATGTGTCCCACAGTACCGCTGCTATATCCAGCTATTACTTCTGTATTGCTTTGGGTTACACCAACAGCAGCCTCAACCCAATCCTTTACGCTTTTTTGGATGAAAACTTCAAGAGATGTTTCAAGGACTTCTGCTTCCCCTTTAAGATGAGGATGGACAGGCAGAGCACCAGTAGAGTCAGAAACACTGTGCAAGACCCAGCTTATATGAGGGAAGCAGATGGGACAAACAAACCTGTATGACTAGTCGTGGAAATGTCGTCTTACTGTCCTCAAGAGAGAGAAGAGTCCAATGACCTAGGACTGACGCAGATTACCACTGCAGTTTGAACTAGATTCACCCAGACAGACATTTCCGGAACATTTCAGAAATCGTAAGAGTTTGAACTAAAGCAAGTTAAGTACTGAAAAACAGGAACCTCCTGAAAAAAAGTTCAAATGAAAAGGACCTGACCAATGGTCAGGTTTTGGCACCATATTTACTGTACTTGAGCAGGTACTAATACACACTTTGGGGAGACAGGGGAGTGTTGTACCAGCTGATTCTGAATAAGCAAATTTCTAGCTTTTCTCTTTACAATACTTAAGGTTATCTCAAGAAATATTTGGTCATAACACTGAGTTATGCCAGAAACTCTTGCCCCAACGGTGATTGCTTCTGAACTATGTAGTTTGACAACGTGACCTGTCATACTTTTACAGTGAAGAGTGTTGTTTAGGTTTCTGCAGAACAATGCCAGAGCTATAATCAATATTGTCCTCAATTAATATATCTGTAACATTTGTCTGTGCTGTGGAAATCCAATTTAAGCATGATCTGCCTACACACCAAAGTGATTTTATTGTGTCTGTGTATGGTAAAGCATTTTGGTATTTAAGAGTATTGGGATTTAAGGAGAATTGTTAGTATATTTTTAGCACGTGTTTAATCACCTGTGTGTATTATTTTCAATGCGTGATTTTGCAAGATGATTGTATATGCATTGATTATGAATAACATGCATTTTCAGAGTGCATTTTGAACAAGAGGTTAGAAAACTTTGACTACTTCACTTGTTAAAAAAATGATGAAAAACCATGACATGTTCATTATGTGAGGGGAAATAATCACATTCCATTTTCAGTAAAGTGGACAAACAAACCTACTTAAAAATACTGCTGTGTTTGTTTTCCTGGACAATTTGTAAGCAGACTAAAGTAAATATTTGGTGAATTAGAAACTAGTGAATTAGCACATGCATTGACTGGATTGATACAAAGGAAATGAAGATTAAATATTCTGGATGCTTTAATGGCACTTGTTTGGAAAAGTTCCCATTTTATTGATCATACATTTTGATGCAGTCGTATGAGTTCAGTAAATTTTTCTGTCTTCCTTTGAAGATGGAGATGCCAAGGCATAGTTGTACAAGTTACTGGCTTGCTGAAGGTAAGTTATGGTAAAACTGAGCCTGATTTTCAGTCCGTATTTTTTTGTCTTCATAGTTGTCATGTATTACTATCCCCACTTCTGCTATTGCTGAAGTTTGGAGGGATACTCTCAATATCTTCCCTGGGAACAGATCTGGTCACCAGACATCTTCCTGGTAACTTTGTTCTTTATACAATATCAGAAAGAAGGTGGATGCCTTCATGACATAGTAAATTTTCTCAGAAACACAGTTTGGTTTGATCCTACTGGACCAAAAATCCTTCACGCACATCATGAGATTTGCTCCTGTAGCTGGCAGGACAGTTCCTGTGGAAATGCTGTAGAGATTCAGCCCTCTGCATAACATCCACATCCTTTTTTTTTAGTACGTTATGCATGTCAAATATTTTTGATATCAGGTTGATAAATGCAGTGCTCCTACATTCATCGTGCAGTAGCAAACCAATCCTGAACAGTCAGAGATGTTCACAGAGGCACTGCCATGTGGAGCAGAGCTGTGAGGTTCAGGCCCTAGAGTCTGGTACTTGAGAATTAGCTGTTCTAATGCAATTATCTTTGCTAATGAAAATATTCAAGATAATCCTTTCTGGACAAATCTAGCACTTCTTGATTGTTTCTACATGAGGAGTGAATAGCTGACCTCAGGATACTTGATTTACCTGGAGAAATTAGTGATGTTTACACAACTGATTGAATGAGTCTAACTTCCTATTCTGCCCCTCTTTCTTTCTTTTTTTTTTTTTTTTACATCTATACACCTTTCTAAATAAAGTTCTGACCTTTAAATGGTCACAGAAAGAGCATGTTCAAGGTAAAAATTTACAATCCAAGGTATTTATCAAGTTAGGAGCAAAAGAAATGTGAAAAGAACTAGGCCTTAATGAATTTTCTTCATTCCAAAGAACCGGAGATCTTGTTCGTGATTTACCATTTGCATATATATTATCTATGTTTCAATAGAATTATTACTCTATACATCATGTGCAGTGCTCCGCATTGTAGTGAAAAATCAATGTTCTTAATTTATAAGAAGGAGCTTTATAATAATTATTTTTTTTTTGTGATTATGTTTTTAGTACCAAGACCATCTTCCCTATCATAGTGGGAGGAAAATATGACTTCCCAATGATTTTTCTGTGGTAAGGAAATATTAGGCTTGACAAGTGATACGTGTTGTAAAGATTTATTTCTTTCATGAAACATTAACAGCCAAATTAGTCTGGATGCAGCAGAAAGGAGTCTTGAAGATTTTATTGTCAGATTAGGCAGCTTACCACACTTCATTGAACAACAAAGGAAAGTTGGCCAAGATTTTTTTTATAGCTGAGAAAGTATATTAAATAATAATATTATGCTTTTACTCACAGAATCTGCGTCCAGATGGTTAAAGTCCCATTGTTTGTTCAGCAGTTCCTAGACTGGAATGACTTACAGGCAAACTCAACTATTCTCACAGGAACATGTGACTTTGGTAACTTGTATTTAAGCCTTGTAAATCACCTCACTTTCTGTGTTACTCCAGGCAAATGACATGCCCTCGCTCTTGTGTGGCTGTCTGTCTCCGAGAGGCAGCGACAGGTGGAGGAAGAGGTGAGAGCTGCCTGGCCCAAACGTTGTAGTGCTGGGTAGGGGATGGGGCAGCAGGAACAGGGTGTGCTGTCCCATGGGTCCTGGAGGAAGGCAACATGGGGCAGACACGTGCAGGCAGCCTGAGAATCAGCTGTACTTGTAGTAGCCAGTTTCACTTTTCTTCCTTTCTGGAGGTTCCAAAAATTCGATATTGCAAAAGTGTGGTACATGGTCATTTGATCTGCTTGTGGGATTAATTTCCAATCAACTAATGTGGATATTAGGATGTCACCTTCTGTGTTCCCAGCTTCTTTTGGTTTGGAAATCTTTTGTATGGAAAATATACCAGTTGTGCTGGTTCAGTGCTTTTGTCTCTGCTTCGGAGAGCACAGCAAAAGAGCGTTACCACGGAGTTACTGAACTTTGCAGACCAAGTATCTTCTCTGAAATCTCAGACTTCTGCAGTGTAGAGGTACCAGATTAACTAGAGTGGAGGGCTGTTTCAGTCTCACCTCTCTTCTCTGTAAGTTTAACTATCCTTAACATTTAAATACTCTACAGAGGCCACTAGACAACCCCTGTAGTTAATTTTGTGTACTTTAAAATGCAGATTGCAAAAGAACAATTAGGTATAAAAAATAATTAGAAACGCTATTCAAATCTCTCTATCCCTGGGGATTTAACTCGGTCTGCACATATTTGTGTATGAGAATTGCATCACAAGGAATAATAACAGTTTTGTTTGTCTTTTTTTTTTTTTTAAAGATGGGGAAAACTGTGTGTGTCAAATGTCCTTCACTTTCCTTAATGCTAAATATCTTCTACACACTGAAAGTGCCTTTGTTCATATAAGAAAACTATTGCCTAGGTTTGACATTACCCTCTAAAAACCAAGGTGACCACAAAGTGTTCCTTTTGCCTTCAGCTACAGTTCTGTAGTGCATTGTTTCTTATTGTCCAAGAAAACGTTACTCAAGTTTTGATTGCTTTTTTTAAATTTATTTTTTATTTAAAGACAATCATGGTTTCCTCTTAACCTGATGAAAGTAAACAAGCACTGAGAGACAATTTACATAACTAATTTCCATGACAGAGACAGCCCAGAAGTGGAAAGAAAATACAGCAAGTGTAATGCAAAAGCAGAACAGCTCACTTATAGTGCTGAGAATGTGAGGTTGTTTGCATGCATGAGAAATAACTTTTCTTCCTGTGCATGTGCCCATGCATGTGCATGTGGAAAACGATTCAGTGCCTCACTGCTAGTACATTCAGAAGGTGTTAAACTGAAGAGGAAACAAATATTCAGCATTATGTTTTCTAGCTACACGGATAATGAAAATATTAAAGGAAGATTATACATCATTACTCAAATGCAAAAAATAAGTTATGTTCTGCTATTGTTTGTGAATAGGAAGAGTCAAGATTTCAGGTAGTTTCAGCTAGTTTGAGGTGATTAATGCTGAGAGATGCTATCTTGTTTTGGATTAGTTAAACATTTTTGGTTTAACATCTGGCAAGGTAGCTAACTTAAGCTGCTACTCATACTGTCTTACACTGAACAACTGGACACAGAGGGAATCTTTAGCGTGGCACAAAATACATCCCTTTCCATGTTTTTCTGTGCTGAGACTAGACAAGACCAAAAGAGCAAGTTTCACATACTGTGAGAACAGCCAGATTTTGTATTGGTTCCAGCTAACTAAGAAAAAAACTTGTGATCTGTGTTGCACGCTGTCACAGAACTAAGACAGGTATGTGATAGTCAAGGTGTTTCAGGAAAAATATATGACTCTTAAGTGTCCTGGGGGAAAAATGATGTCACACAACATCACAATTAGTTATCCTTCTTCTAGTCAGTAAGAGTAAATTTTTAATAGGAAATCTAAAGATGGATAAGAAATTTTTTCAAGTAGATGTCTTCATTTAAATTTCATATTTTGTCTAACTAAAGCAATGAGGCTTAGCTAATATTTTTCAGGCCAGAGCATCACTCTCAACTTTTTAACTGTGACATTCGAGAACAATTTATGTTCTAAGGGGCAAAGAAACTTTCAAAAATATGCATGCAACAGTGTATAGAGTTTCTAGTAGGCCTTGGATGTCTTATTTCACTTGTGCCTTTAAAAATCTCCTCCACATATTCATATAGCACTTTATTTTAAAGATAGGCTCTGGTAATAAATTCAAGGAAAAAAAGAGATTGTTAATTTTTTCAAAAGAATCTTAGACTTAAAAAATGCAGATGTCAATGAAGTGATGCTATTTTACTGCAGGTAAAGAAGCAACCCCTGAGGTGTTGCCCAAAGTCAAAAACTGCTTTTCAGGTTCAAAGAGCATGTCCATTAAAAGCGTCTGTCTCTCCGGAAACAGAACCTTCCCTAAAAACTCAGACTTCCTCAGTTCTGTCAAGTACTGTCAATGTAAACAGACCATTACTGAAACGATA